TAACCATTGTTTTCCCCATGTAACTTGAGATCCTCGGGTTTGTTTTTGCAGTCTATCCCAGCACTCATAGAAAAAGCAGAAGGTTTTTCCCAAGCATTGACTTTGCAACCAACCTTGGAACTCTGCAAGCTGCGGCAAGAAGTCTTTTCTGATTTCAAGGTGAAGGAGGAAAACAATGTCCAAAATTCAGTACCACCAGGAGAAGTCACACCAACAGGAACTGTTTGCAGTAAAAATCCTTATGTTTTGCTGAGAAGAAGAAAAGCTGCAGATTCCCCTGGGAGAAGGCGCTACCCACTGCGGCGGAGGAAGATCACTCTCAGTGCATGAATTTCTCATTTTGTGTTTTCACATTGGAATCTCAGTTGTACTTTTGTTCCATGTGTTCCATCTTTTTTCTTAGAACTCACCTCCCCTCAGTGCTATCCATGGGGGCTTCTTTAATTAGTCTTTGACCTCTTAAATATTTCTACTTTTGCTGACATGATATATGGTACATGTACCAGTAGCATCCAATATCCAGCAAGTGTATTTGCCATTTAACTCATTTTTTGCTCTTATATTGCAGTTTTTAGCTTGAGTCCTTGTGCTTCTCAGAGTTCATGTGCATGCTTTATGTATGTGGGCAGTCTTTTAGGAAACCACTAACTGCTCATTTACATTCAGCATGTCTCTAAAGAGGTTGGAGAATGTCTAGTTCTCCTAATGCACCTTCATTGATTACTGAGGCATGTGGCTTTTATATTAATGAATTAATTGACGCTGCAGCATATTGAAATCAGCAAATTTGATGCGATGTTGGAGTTTTAAGGAAGTCTATGCACACATGTGACATTAGTCTTTGCTATTCTACCTTTCCTGAATGTAGGTCATTTAGGCTTATTTATAGTCATGTTTGTTGAAACTTGGATTTTTAATAATTGTATGTATTTACTTGCAGTGTGCTCTTCTGAACACGAATTCAACCATCAACATCTTAGGGTCTGATATATCATTTCATGTAATCCAATTGTGCACCTGGGGTTTTCCTGAGCAATATTTCTACCCAAGAAAGGATCTTGACTTGGGTTATGTTTGCATTTGTGTTGTTTAACTAAACTTTAAAGATCAATGGAGGCTACCAGTTAATGGTATTCACTTGAGCTAGCTTACTTTTGTTTTCTTTACTCATTAGTGCCTAGAATATTGGAAATTAGTACTAAATTGAGCCTTGTGCCTTAACCATTTATAACTTTTTCTAGTTTATGGTTGCATGTGCCTGCAGTAAATACTCCTGTTTAGTATGTAACATATTTGTTACACAGTAAATGGAGGGGAGTTTTAGAAGCTTTATTAATGACATATTTGGTGCTAAGAAGACATGTCCAACCTAATGTCTAAGAGACTGAGAGTTCTCAAGAAAACAGATTTTAGCATCATTTATTTTGTAAAAGTGATCGTCTGTACTGAGACTTTGTATATGTAATAATATGTAAATATTTTTCCTTTGTATATACAAATGTGTGTTTTTATATGAAGTAAATTAAATCAATTAAGGAAGATCAAAGCTTCAGATAATATTGTCGGTTCTAATCCTGGAATAGATGGTGGCTGAGCAGTGAGTGTTCTTCAGAGGACATCTGTGTTAAATTCTGCCTTGAGTAACTGAAGTAGTTCCATTTACTGCCTTTGAACTCACAAGTGTTATTAATCTCAGGGCTGCAAAGTTTCTCATTAAGAGAGGACAGGATGTGAGAGGGACTGGAGCTGCAGGGCTGTGGGGTGTGTGGCTCAGACTGCTTCTCACACAGCCCCTTGCTATTTTGAGTGCTCGGCTCTGTGCGGCGTTGGAAATCCCTGCTACGGCTTTCTTCACACAGGTCCTGGCTGGTGCTGGGCTAAGGTGAGCCCTACAAGATTCTGCATGGGTACTATTACAGTGTTTGGCCATTTCCTCTGTTAATAGGAAGGTTTTCTGCTCTTCTCTGCAAATGACAGGCAAGTACAGAAAATAGCTAGGAATAGGTATCTCTTTGAAGAAATTCCATCAGAAATAGCTGGGGTAGGACAAATGCCATAAGAAATTAAAAGGGAAAGCACTGTGGTTTAAGACTTAATAAATAAATTCACACAGTGCATGTTTCTGTTTAGAGACTAAGGGATAGTTGGCCTGCACAGGATTTCAGGTAAGTGGGAATGGATGCTCTGAGTTAGAGCACTTGGTCTTCTGTTCCATAGCCTGTGTTGCAACTGCAACCGGGTGGAAGAAGAAAAATGTATCTGGAAATGCTGGCCAAGTGGACTGTGTAAAGAAAAAGATAAATTATTCAAGATTCCAAGTGCAGTGTATAAACTAGGAATTTAAAAATCTGATGGCTACTTTTGGCCAAGCAGCACTGGAAAGAGAGTCTCCCTTTAAATGCAAGTTCTGTGATGAGCTAAACTCAACATGAATGTTCAGCAGTTTTTCCAATGGTTATTAAAAAATTCTACAGCCAGTGATACCTGCAACCAGCTGTTCTTCCCATTGGCAGAAACACATAAAACACTTCATTTTTCCCCACTCCAGTAGCCTTTTGTCCTTCAGTTAACTTTTCATAGGAATTGGCAGTGTTGTGCAAGACATGTCTAATCAGGCTTCTACTGAAATGTCACAACAGCCAAGCTTCTTATTTTTAACTTGGGGCGAATTGGTATTGCATCAAGAAATGTCTGGTAGTTTTTCTTTATATAGCCTTTGAATTTTGTAAGACAGCTCAACGGTGAGGGATGCTTGGGTTCATTTGCAAACTGAGTTTGAATTTCTTGGCCTTTGGGGGTGAGACAGAACATCTCACTGTTTGTTAGTGTGTCCTGTCTGCAGTGTGCTTTTTGCTCATGAGGCTAGGCTATCCCCGGCTAAGAAAAACTTGCAAATTGGAGCAGCATCCACGCCTGCTTTTGCTGTGTGTACTTTCTGAACAAAGAGGATTATGAACTCTAAAGGGGAAGCTCCTCTTCCAGAAATCTTCACATGTTCCCTGACATCTGTTTGGAAGCCTGGGTGCTCTGAGACCCATTTCTGACATGTGCCATTCTCCAGGAGAGCCATGCTGTGCTAAGCTATGATCAGAAACTAGTCTGCATACGTGTAGGCTGCTTCAGTGCAGACAAAAATCACTGATAAACTGCCATTATAAAAGGCAAGCTCAGCTGACTAAGCTGCTTTCTGGGCTGGTTTTCTCTCCTGCACAGAAACACTCTGCCTTTACTGCTGCAGTACCTGGAATTACTGTGTAGGCATTTCTACAGATGTACCAGAGATATCTTTAATACTAAGTAGAAACTTGTTCCCACAAGCAAATTTTGACTTGTCATTTCCTTTGTCATTTGTTCTGAACAAGAACAGACTATTCAGGCTCAAGGGGACTGTCCCCTGGCTTGTCCTATGCTTGTGTTATCCTGGAAACCTTATTCTGCAGCTGTTGGGAATTACTCAGTGAGGTGGATATTTACTCAGGACTAATAAATTCTTGGTGAGCTGCTCATGATTTGATGCTGTCAGGTAGCTGGTGCAGGTGCCATTTGCAGCAGCATTGCTTCTGGAGCATGGAGTTCAAAGTCCCTCTGTGGAAGGGGACTTTCTTTCCCACAGATCACTCCAGAGGGCTGTTGAGGTGTTTTATCCACATGGTTCATAGCAAGACAAAATACCTGTTCCCTGAGCTTGTGAAAATACTGCCTTCTAGTCCTGTTTATTTCAACTGAGCTAAAGCTACAAAGGCAGCAAGATGCCAGTGCTCTCTTTTTCAGCAACTGTCCCAACTACGTCTCTGTTGGTGCCCTCTTGCACTGCTTCCCTTTAACTGCATGAGGTGTAGTTAATGCAAGATTAGGCTGTTTCAAAGGAGCAGTTGAGAGCAATTCACCCCCTAAGAGCTCTCTGCCTGGTGGCCAGGGCTGCTTTCCCGGAGGTGCTGGTTTGGATGCCCTCAGCTGGAGAGTGGCACTGAACCCACACCTTACTGCTGCCTCCACAAGCAGCCCTTGGTGAACATCCTGCTCTTGGCACATTGGATGACAAAGGGAGAAAGAAGCAAGACTGCTTTTGAAGAAACCAGGAAATGCCCTGTGAGATGCTTGGGAGACCCAGCACAGTCTGGGGCTGCAGGTTAGGTCAGGGTATATTGGCAAGAGTGTGCTTCCCAGCTGTGGTCACCAGCCACCTTCCCAGGGCTGTTAGGGTGGCAAGACTCACAGGGACTCGGTCCTCCTGTGTTAGAGAAGCTCTTGGAAAACTGCAAAATCAAATAAATTCATGGATAGCCTGGAGACACAAGCTGCTTTGAGGTGTAACAGCTGGGGAGAAGCACTTCAAACCAAGGAAGTCATGCTCAAGTCTTTTAGTCACAGTCCCAGAGCCTACCAGGAAACATGTGGCAGAGCACAGGCGTCACTTTGACTCTTGGACTCCAGGGAGCATGGTTCCCTCACCTTTAGCATGAACTGTTAGCCACATCTTCCTGGAAGGAGAGTCTATATTTACTCAGTTTGCCAACTCTCTAACTTCATCTAAGCTGGATGACTCAAGCTGCTGAGGAAACCAGAAAAATAGGGATGTATCTGATTTATGGAGATATCCGGGGCTTTGTGACTGACTGCCCTGCAGTTTGGGGGCACATACCCTCCTCTCATAGTCATGTGTTCACCTCTGTGAGCTGAGCATAGCCAGGAGGGTACAAATCCTTTTGCAGAAGAGCAAGGATGTTGAAGTAGCTGTCAGTGCAAACACCCCCTTTCAAAGCATAAGGCCAAGGTAACTGCAATTAAAATGCAGGAAGGCGTTCCGAGAGGTAAAAGAAACAGTGTCCTGTTAAAATACACTCGACAGAATAATGGAAGAGAAAGATTTTTGTCTGCAGCAACTGTATTTCCAGCATTTTTTGTCTGGCTTTGCCTTTACAAGAAGTCTGTCGCATTTCCTTATTATTTAAAGGAACAGGGTGAGTAGCGAAAGTGAAAATCGCTGTATCCCAGCACGGATGCCGTGTCCTCACACCCACGATCCCGGGCTGAGCTGGCTGTTCCCCATGTGGAGCTGCCGCCGCTCCGGAGAGCGATGTCGCAGGAGCGCGGCGTGCAGGAGCGGCCGGAGGTGAGCGCCGGGGGACACACGGGGCGAGGCGGGCTCCGGGGCCGCCTGGAGAGGGGAGAAACTGCGGGGACTTCATTTCTGCAGGCGAAAGAGCGAGTCGGGCTGCCCGGGGGGGCGTCGAACCCAGCTGGCCCGCGGGGCTGGGGCTCTCCGGGGGGATTTTCAGGCAGCTCCTGCCCGGCAGCGCCGTGACCCGGACTTTCCGCGGCTCCCGGCGGCTGACGAGCGCCGGCGGTCCCGGGGGGCGGTCCCCGCGGGGGAGCAGTGCGGGAAGGGGCGGCCGGGTGGTCCCGGGTTCGCGGTGCAGGCGGCCGCCATGTGAGGGCCATGTGGGCGGCGGCTCCGCCCCGGGCCGCGCCGGCACCTGGCGGCGGCACCCCCGGCCCGGGGCGGCGCGTCCCCTGCCCCGGCCCGCCCCTCCTGCCCTTGTGCTCCCTTCCCTCCGCTCCCGGCAGTCGCACCCCCCGCGGGCCGGGGGAGCCCTGCGGGCGGCTCGGCGGCGCCGGGATGTCCTGCGCCCTCCCGCCGGCGGCGGCCAGCGCGCTGTCCCGGGGCGCGGCGGCCGAGGGCGGCCAGCAGGTAGGCACCGGGCGGCCGTGGGCGCTACGGGCGGGCACATGGGGCTGAGTCACGCCGGGCAGCGCCGCGGCGGGGGTACCCCCTGCCCCTGAGCATCGGCCCTTCTTTTCCCGGGAGGCGGCCGCCGTGCCGGCTCTTCCCGGTGGGAGCGCGGGCGGTGCGCGGAAAGCGCCGGGGCACGGCCGGGCAGCGGCTTTTGCCCAGCCGCGGGCAACCGGGAAGGGAGCAGCGCTTTCCTCCCCGCTGCTCGCACCTCCGCCCGTCGGCCGCGCTGGAGCGAGGCAGGTGTAAAGTGCTGCCCGCCGGCAGAGCGGGAGCGCCGGTCCCCGCTCGGGTACACAGCTCCCCCCAGCAGTAGCAATGCCCCTGCCCGCGGGGCGCTGCGGCATCCCCCGGCAGCCTGCCGTGCCCCAGCTCCCCCAGCAGTAGCAATGCCCCTGCCCGCGGGGCTCTGCGGCATCCCCCGGCAGCCTGTCGTGCCCCAGCTCCCCCCAGCAGTAGCAATGCCCCTGCGGTATCCCCCGGGCAGCCTGCCGGCTTCCACCCCTCCGCTTCGGCGCCGAGGGATGCGCTGCTGTTTGCATGGACCATGCGGTCTCTGGGAGACCGAGGATCGGCACTGTAAAGTTGGAAGTGTTCGTTCTCAGAAAGTTACACACCCGACTTCAAGCATCTTCTGTGTGCACCTTGCAAACTAGCAAAGTGTTTCTGGCTGATGTCTTCCAGAGTCGTGAAGAAGATGACAGAAAAGTAAGGAGGAGAGAAAAGAATCGAGTTGCTGCGCAGAGGAGCCGGAAGAAGCAAACGCAGAAAGCAGATAAACTTCACGAGGTGAATGGGTACTTGGTGCTTTGCAGACATGGCTTGGGTACCAAGCATGGGACTTTACAATAAACTGGAATTCTTAAGCAGGCATGGGCCTGTTTTCACATAATCCTGCTCAGAGAGCTGTGGGTGTGAGGCACAGAAGGTGTGCTGTGGGATGCCTGGTTGGGAATTCCAGACACTGATGCTGCTCTTGGACAGTGCAGCTCTGCCTTTAATGACACTGCTAGGAAGAGAGAGACATGGTCCAGGCCCTTGCCTCATCCTCCCTCTTTTGCTCTTCCTGTTACCCCCAAAGAATGGGATCACAGGGCTCCTTTGGGCTAAACCAGAACCATTTTCTTCTGTAATAGTGTTAAGCTTGTCATGTTTGCTGCGACGGTGGATGAATTCTTGCTGTCTTACAAGGTAGAAGGTGATGGAAGAGGAGAGGACCATGCAGTGGCAATGCTGGCTTAAATCAGTTCTAGAACTGTGGTGTCATCAACAGGGTTCCCAGACATGCCCAGTTGAAAAGGCTTCTAAGGAGCTTGGCAACCTGCAAGTGTGAGAGCTCGGCTTAGCTGGCTGTTACACTTGTATGCTTTGAAAAGTAACAGTGGGTGCTCAAACAGATGAAATAAAAGTAATTGATTATTTCAGAAGCACTTAATATCATCACAACCTGGTGTGCTTTTCTTGTGTCCCAGTGCAAATACTGGAGGACAGGGATCCCTTTTCTCTCACATCACAGTGCTCTTGTAGCCAGGAGTCAGCTTTTGGGGCAAGTGTCAGTTTTGCAGCATGCTGCCACTGTGGCTGAGTCAGTTGCTCAGCTCTGAAGGTTCATCACGGGCTTTTTTCTTTCTCACTGTGGAAGGATTTGCCAGCAGTTAGCAGAGACTAAGAGGGACAGTGTGGGGAGTTTTGGGCTTGGTTTTTCCCAGATCTCCTCTGAGTCAGCGCCTGAGAAAGCCAGGTGCAGGGTAGTTCTGAAAAGGGGTAAGCCCTGGCTTTTGTGGAATCATTTTTGGGCCCTTTGCCATCCTGCAGCCTCTCTGATGTTCCTCCTGAACTTGAGGATCTTCCTCGTTCTGGGAATCTTCATTTTGAGGCACACAGGTTTTGCCAGCTGTAGGAAGATCTGGTTGAATAGACATTCATTCTTAGCAAGAACAACGTGACAGTTTCACCCCTGAAAATGAGACTGAGCAATGGGACAGCAACATTTATTCCAAAACCCAGGACCATGGGATTTGGGGCAACAAGAGATGAGCAGAATGACAGTGGGGGTCAGACAACTTGGCTGGAGTTTGGCTCCAGTGCTGTGTTAGGAGGACTGTGCCTGTTTCACTCTGTGAGAGGTGGCTCAGGGGTGTGAGGGAGGCTCAGGAGCCCAAAGTTCTGCAGCAAAGGGGAGCAGAGGCAGTGCCAGGCTGCCCAGAACAACATTGCACGAGAGCCTCTCCCTGCTGCCTTTTCAGGCACGTGTAGGCTTTGAAGTTTGCTCTGAAGCTTTCCCAGGGAGGTGAGATTGAGTGGGTGGATGTTGAGCCTTGGGCTAGCAGCAAGACATCCATCTGCAGGTTTTCAGTGGGCTGCCTCTGAACCTCCAGCTCTCTGCTCTTTGGGATGGGAAGGCTTAGAAGCAGGGACGCTTGAGACACACAGTTATCAAAAACTGTGACACAGGAGTCTTGCATCCATCACATGGATGCTGCAGAGCAACTCAAAATTCCTCTGCAGTTAACAGCAGCTTATTTATTGCCAGAGAAGCCTTAGCTCAAAAGCAGCCAGGTCAGGGATAACCAAAGGCAGTGGTCTGGCCTTCTGGTGACAGAATAAGTCTGGCCTCAAGCTGGCATGATGTTTCCCTCCTCCTGAGTTCTTGGGCTTCTCAGAAGGTGGCTACAAGCTCTGGCAGGCCTGGAGGAGAGCACTGGACATGGTGTGCTAGCCTGGATAAATGGCTTTTCCCTGCACTGCCCTGGGGCAGGGGCTGCCCTTCTCTCACCAGCAGTGCCAGGCACCGGGTTTTCCCAGCACCTCTTGGCAGTCAGTGCTTTCATTTTCTCTGATCTCACCGTGCAGAGTCCATTTTGGCCCTTCCCATCAGAGGCAACCCGGGGTGGAAGAGGCCTCCAGGGAACACAGCCATCCATGCCTGCAGCCCTGGGCTCCTGGGGGACTCTGAGGGCAAGTGGCACCTCCTGGTCTCTGAGGGCAGGTGAAAGGAATCCCAGTGTGGTCAGGGCACAGGTTGTAAAGCACTTGCCCTGTTCCAGCACCCAGGCTGGGTCTGTCTTTCCTCTTAGCACTTAGTAAGTTGTAGTAAGAAGCCGCACTGTTTTTCTACTGTTATGTGAATGTACTCAAGGTGGAAGCACTGAAAGGAATGTTTTGACTGTAAGTTGTTGGTTTTTTTTCTTTCCCCTCCTTCCAGGAATATGAGTCTCTTGAGCAAGAAAATACCTCCCTGAAAAGAGAAATCGGAAAGCTAACAGATGAAATGAAACACTTGAGTGAAGTGTTGAAGGATCATGAAAAGATCTGTCCACTATTGCACTGCACCATGAACTTTGTGACCATACCAAGGCCTGATGCACTTGCCAGCTGCCTACCAAGATGAGTGCTCTCCTCAATCACCTCTCAATGTGATTTGTGAAAGTGCCATTAACAAGAGGTTTCAAGAACTGCCTAGTGTGCAGTTCTCCCATTGAAGAGGGCTGGACTCGACCACACAGCTCTACTCCACGATGAAATGTTACAATCTTCTGAATCTCAGCAAAACACCAGTATGGAAAAAAAGACAATTTGAACAGCAGCTTCTAACTTGGTAGACTCTTCAAGCCATGGTTTTGCCTTTGGAAATATCAAAGTGCTGTGCAGCTCACTATGGAGCGATGGAGTGTAGACAGGGAAAGGTACCAACCTCAGCCTGGGATGCCTTCCTCCCACACATCCACTGCCAGTAACCCCTTGTCACTTGTCACCCATGCCTGTCATGATCTGGCTGCTGGGTTTTTTCTCTCTAAACAGGTTTGGTTAATAAAAGTGATGTCTCATCTCTATAATGTTCTCCACTTTCTTCAATAATCGATGTCTTTATAGCATCTCTGCTTTTCATTTGCTGGTCAATGCCAAAGCCTAATGCTAATCTTCCTGTTAGTTGTTCTGTTATTTACTTATTGCCTCTTCATTGGTTCCTCTTTTGAAGTGTGTGTAACAAAAGAGTTTTCTTAGTCTTTAATATTCCAAATCACCAGCCCTGCTGGCATTAGTCCTTGGAGTGTTTTTTATCCTAAAATATGGCTTGGTCAGTTTCTGATTGTCTGCTCTGTATGGAAGAAAAGCAAACAGAGTTTGATGGTTTTAAACATTGTTTTAAAAAGCAGATTTTAAAATTTACTCTTTTAATGCACCCATTGGAAATGAACAAGTATCTTCTTCCTTCCTTCATCTTGCTTATTGCCTCTGGAAGATTTTGTCTGTGGATTGAGTTTTGCTAAGCATTTTGTTCTATGTCCACACTGAAGGTGTTTGATAATTGATTGAAAGAAAAACATTCTGTTTTCTTTTTAGTTACAAAAAGGAAGTACAATTGCAATGTTATTGAGAAATACACAGAAAAATGTGTTTACTTTCTCTGAAGATTCCTAATAGTATCAACCTCTTGAAATGTGGATGCTGTAGCTTGGGAACCAGCAAAGAGTCTTTTTCTCACAGTATTTCGCAGTCAAAGAGCACCTTTGGATAATAAAAATCTCCTCCCTATTGCCAACTCTCTCACTTCAGCATTTTGAATTTTTTTTCAGTTAAACTCATGGGATTAATTTCTCCCTTCACCAGGATCACAGTATTTATCAACAGAATGTGATATGAAATGTCTGGATTTTAATTTTTTTTAAACTTTTTTTTTTTTTTAAAGTTTCTTTAGTAGAATGGTGCATTGCTGATCACTGCCAAGACAGAATTTGGGAAACCATGTAGTCAACTCTGCCTTCTAAAGGGCCCTCTTTTACCACTGTCTTAGGCTAGAAACTCCAGATGAGCTGTTGGCTTCTTTAAATTATGGGTTAGGTTGTTCCCAAGACAATTTCCAGAATTTGCATCTGCAGCCTAAATGCTCTCTTCAGAGTTCCTTATGGTCCCATAAGAACTGAGTCAGGCCACAGAGAGAATCTGCTGCAGTCCCTCCATAGGAAAACAAAAGTCTCAGTAGAGTTCAAGATTCACATTTTGGGAAATGTCCTTGAAACTGTTCTGTGTGTCACCCTTAAGAATGGAAGCTATCCTATGAATATTCATCCACACACCCACATTCCCTCAGGCACTGGATGCCACTGTGTAATTTGGGCAGAGTAGAGGTGGAATGGAGAAGGAGCAGCATGGTGGAAATGAACAACATTCACTCTGGCAAAATGTGTCACAATTTAGGATGAAGGGAGAGAGGGAGTGTTTCATATCTCTTAACTAGGTGTGTGCAGCTGACTGGAAAGCATCTATTTGAGGTCAGGACTCTATAAAGCTGGTCTCACATATGGAGCCCTGTGGCTCTCAGAAATGGGAGGAAAGATCAACTAGTCCAAGACAGTCCATCCCAGCAGAATCCTTCTAAAGACTTTTGTTCCACAGATGCTCTCTTCTAGAAGTAGAAATCTAGTTCCCTGTGTGAAATCCTCCTCCTTACACATATCTTCTTCTAAACATCTGCCTAGAAACTGATTCCAGCTTATCACTTGCTGTCATATCCAAGTTCTGTGGTAGACTCCCCATCAGTAAGCACTGTTCTTGTTCTGCAGTTAAAGTTTTAATCCATGGTGTCTGCACTGCAGTTCATTGCTTTATTAATTGTATCATGTCTATGCAGAGTGTACAGGGGAAGACAGCAGAATTCCCAGCAATGTTGTGTGATGAAGACAACAGTCTAAGTCCAAGAATATATTGCTGTTCCTTGGAAGGGCTGGGAGCCCTGTGGGAGCCCTCACTGTCCCCACTTCTTTCCCACAAGCTCAGGGTACAGCTCCAGCTCTTCCTGTGCATCATGTTCATTAGTAACAGTAGGGCATGGGTTGCTTCTTCCTCCATCTCTTGCATCACTTTTTCTCCAAGGAATATTTCCAAAGGGCCTTTTGCATCACTCTTCTATTTGATAGAGGCACTAGAGGCACTTCACCAATCAGTATGTTGTGTGACTTATGTTCAAAGGCAGCTGGGAGCCTCAAGTAAAAGAAGTGAGCAAAATTAGTATCCCAAGCCACTTAAGTCCAACATTCTGATATATTAATAGAATTAATGTGATAGCTGAATCATGGGATGACAAAGACCATGAGCTGGTAAAGCACAGGCTTCTGTGTCCCTACACATACAGATTATACTTTTTGCAGGAGCTGTTCATAAAGATATTGATTTACAGGAACCTTCAAAACAGAAAGCATGTTCTGGAGCCTGGGATAATTTTTACATGAATAGGGAACCAGAAAGGAGAACAGAAAGGAAAAAGCCCATTTGTTAAGGAAGCAACAGAAAAATTCTTTTTCGGATCCAAACCTCTCCTTTTGCAGCAGTGTTACCCCATGAAAAAAAAAGGTTTCACATCTATAAATGGCTAAAGTCCCACTTGATGTACTGTAGCTTCAAAAAGCTTCCAGTTGGTTTGACTTGTTCCCCACAAAAATGTGGTCTGTATCACATCCACATGATTTTCAGATGCAGGTGAATAGGGAAGATCTTTTCTATAATCAGATCATGGTTCATGTGAGGTGCACTGTGAGCTGCAGTCTTATTTGTGGATGTGTCATGTATATGAGGATTGTTAACAAAGCTGGATTTTGCCTCTTAGGTTCACAGTGAAGGTTACAGTTTGTCTAGATTCAGTGTGGATTTCTTTTTTTTTGCATTTTCTATGAGTCTAATGAAGGAGCAAAGTGCTTACTGCAAACTTACAGACAAAAGTATTTCTTTTAGGAACAGACTGGGTCCAATTCAGCTATTTATCTATTATGTTCTTTTGGGTTTAGTTGGGTCAGATTGAAAATGATTATATTTTAAAAAGTTAATGTTAGCCTCCAAAGCTAAAAAAAATCAACAGAAAGGCAAAGTCAAGCTTCCCATTACTGTTCATGTAACAGAGATCAATTGTTATACCTCAAGAGAGCTTATTAGAAAGTCTTGCTCCTTCCCACTGGTATTTTACATTCATGCCTGTGAACATTTATAAGTGCCTTCATGTACTTATCCAGTCTCACTGAAAGTACATCTTAAAAAAAAATAAAAATTAAACCAGCCAGTTCTACAGACTTTGTGTTCTTTGCCCTGGTAGCAGTTACTGTAATTTAGTGCTCCTTCTGCAATGCCTCCTGATCTCATCTGCATTTGGTACTTTCACTAGCCTTTGTAGTCTCATTATTTCAAATGCCACTTTTTTTTTTTTCTTCTTCCTGTATCCTTCTGTTTCTACATAGCTTGGTGAAACATGCCTTAATGGAATCAGTTTTAGAGGATCGAGGCTAATCGTAGGGCCATATAGAAATTGCACTTCACTTATGTACCCTGTATGTGGTTAAAGGCTCTGATGTGTGCCTTGTTTTGTCACTCAAGTATTAAGGAAGGTGTCAGTGCAGTCTTTTAAAAAGTACTTGAAGGTGGCATAACCTTTACTGTAGCCTATCAAACCCATGCTGTTTCCTGTCCATAGATGAATGCTTTGCTGCATGGCATTTGGGGTTTCCATCTGTGAATCAGTCTTGAATTTCTGTCTCAGTGAAAGTGATAGATAAAACAACCATTAAAAAAAAAAATCCCTTTTCTCTTCTTCCCATCAGTGCAGTGTTATAATTCCTGTTACAGGAAGGAAGCATGTCTGATTAGCAGGAGAAGTGGGGGGTTTATCTTCTGTCACAAAGACTAAATGTTATTCTCTTTATAGGAGGGGAGGAATTTTCTGTTTGTAAACCCTGGGTTACTGTCAAGTGGTCATTGGAGAAACATCTTACATGTACATAGAGCATGTGGTATGGGCACACATCCAAAAGGGAGTGAAAGAATTTGGATTCATTCTTTGCAGAAATGTGGGATTTACCTCAATTTCATTGGAAGTAGAAATGGTCCTACAGCTATCTCAGAGGACATGCAGTCCTTTGCTTACTCACTTGGGTAATATTTAACTCAAGAATAGCTACAGGCTCACTGGAAGTGGGTACTTCTTAATAAAGAAACTGTAGTAACAATCATCCCTGGGATTACATGCTCCATTTCTGGCATTCTTTCAGGTATTTTTTTCCTACATAGCTCCTATGGAAAAAAACTGTAATGGTAGAGTAGGAATCTTTTCTCACTGCAGAATTTTGAAATCATGACATCAAATGTATTGTGAAAATAGCTGGCATAGCTTTTGCAAATAACTTGTTTCCTGCTAATTATGAGTTTGGTCTGCTGTAAAGGAATCATTACTATTCTCTTTACAAGTGGAAAAACTTAACCACAAAGGTCTTGGTGTAGAATAAAACCATTGATTCGTGGAGTCAGTGCTGAGTGGCTACCATGCTCCGGTGTCTCAGCTTATCTCATGCTGAAGCAGCTCCTTCATGGAGCCACAGAGAAAATGACATCTGTAAAACGTGTGTTTGCTTTAAATTTGCAGTAGGAGAGCTTTTATTGTATGTCTTTATAAAGTTCTACAGGCAGCTTGCTACACCCATCTGGCTGCAGTCCAATGGAGCCTGCCCAGACCATTCCCCTGGAATACAGGGTAGGTACATCTCCAGTCAGGTGGAAAAGCTCTCTCCTTTAACTGTCTCATAATGAGCTTATTGTCATGTTTTCATTATTCTAAATTATTCAAATATCAGAGCTCTCGACATTCTAAGCAAGGGTTGTAAGTAGTCTCTCTTGGGATAAGCAGATTATTAAAATTTGTCTTCCCATTATAAGCTGAATCTTGAGAGTACTAATTTATTATCTGTCTCAGGTAAATAATTGACAATAAGGAATAAGCAACAAGACAATGCTTCAATATTTGATGCAATGCCATATAAGATGCAATTGCTTCAGCTGGAGAAGTTGTGCAAGAATT